TGACGGGGATTCGAACCCGGGACCCTCAGATTGCGAGTTGAGTGCCTTAACCACCTGGCCATGCCGGGCCTCACCTGTGTCAAGTATCTACTAAATTATTTTCTCTTTATGTGGTGATATTTTGCAAATGAGGTAATTAAGACTAAAAATAGTATGTTTTTTTTATCACATATAAAGAATCTTATATAAAATTTAAATTTTATCAACAGCTACACTTTAAAATCTAAAAAAATTTCTGGTTTAGAGATGAAATGTTTAGAGCTTATTAACATATATTTCTCACTGCAAAAATGAAATTAGCTTCCAATAAGGGAAAAGAAAAATAACTTTATTGGGTACCACATAATGATTTTAACTCCATGTGCATGTGGTTGGTCCATTGGAAAGAGTGCGTACTGGAGAATTAATGTTTACTATAAATTCTATACTTTTGAACTTACTTAAATTTATCTTCACAAAATTTGGTAAGGTGTTAGTAAACATTACCAGTATGTTATACACAAAAAATCAGAAGTTTTAATAAAATATTTCTACAAAAGATTTGTCTGAATTTATTTAGTCAGTCTGACTTAGATTCTGACTAGTCTGAGTGCAAGGTGATTTTCTTGTTAAGAATAATAACACTTTTTTTGTTTTCATATTTCATTTACATAACCTCTAGAACCTCCTAAATGAACATCAAAAGCTTTTCTTTTGTAAAACTTTATATTTTATTTGTTATTTTCTCTACCCTAACACTATACAAGCTCTGTCGATTTGACAGACCTTGTAACCACTACCAAAAACAAAGATATGAAATAAATCTAAATTACCTTTTTTGTTTCTAGAATGGCTGCAGGTTGTAACAAAAAATTAGTTATTTATCCTAAAAAAGCCTCAGGCTCATAACAGTTTACATCTATTTTCATTTGATTTTATTGCTCTTTGAACTGTCCAACTACCATCACCCAGTGGAAGTGTGGAGAGTTTAAGGGAAACAAAATTGTAGGCAGTACTGAGCCAATTGATCTGCCATGTTTGCATACTTATAAATAAAGAAATCCTGAATTTTTCACCTTTTCAACAAGCTAGGAATAATTTATCTACATGAATTTTAACATTATTTAATAGAAATGATAATAGTTATTATAAATTTATAGTGGATTTGGATTTTTTTTTATTACCACTCAATTTCAAGCACAACTTTTTTCAATCAAATCATGCAGAGAAAGATTTTCAACAAGTTTCACTTCATTGTTGACCAAGGTTGCTTACTTTTGCAGCTCTGCAAAACGTTTGAATTCAGGGGTTGTTTAGACTCAACTCCTTTATCTTTCTGCTCCCAGCTATTTGTTTTTAAACATCAACAATTTTACAAAACTATTCATAACAAAGTAGATGATTTTATAAAGCTACTTATTAGCTGGTCCTTTGCTCTCCTCATCACTGTCAAAATGAGAGAAATATGTTACTTTAATGACTCATTCTAGTGGAAGTGATTAAACATTAACAGATAATGGTGTATCTCATTTTCTTGATACACTAGGTAGCATCCAGGCAATAAGAGTCAAACCTCTAAACACTCATGGTAGGTGTTACAGATGTAGAGTAAGTTAAGATAGCAGAAGCTTGTGAACAATATTTTTACACTGTATGAGCTTGTAGAAATTACACTTCTTCACAAGATTTCTTCTTCCATCAAAAGGGTATTAAAAATCTTCATATGTTTGCAAATTTCATATTTTACATATCAATATACTTTTTTCAGAATTGTTCCAAATCTGTTTGAAGACCTTACCATGTTATACAATATATTGATATAGAAAATGCTTGAAAACAATCTAAACAATCAAAATAAAAACCTTTCCGTATCAAAAAGTTGCAGTTGAAAAAATCTATTCTGAAAGTTGAACTTCAGGTTAATTTCAGCTCTTTATTGAATGCAGAAAATGAAGAATATAACAGCTTAAACGTGAGGTAAAAGCCATCAAATTAAACACTAAGAACTGTGTGACACCTGATGAAGTGACCATATGGTATTTATGATTGTAGTCTTAACAGTTAAAAAACAATGAAGTAGCAAATACAGATTATCTACAAGTATATGAAAATTATAAGCAAGAAATATAAGAAACTCAAAACAGTCTGAAAACAAGAAAATCAGTATAATAAAGCAGAACCAGATACACAAATTTAGTTCTTGCTGTTGTTGAGCTACTTGAGGGCTATCTGTGATAGCCATCCCTAATGTTCTAGTGATTAGCAAGTGGGAAGGCAGTTGGTTAACATAATCCACTGGCAACTCATGGGTTACTCTAATCAAATAATAGGATCTGACCCATCACTCTTACAATACATTCACAGCCTCAATGGAGCACCTTTTTTTTTTATGGCAGCAATGGAGCATGAACCTTGGATCCACAGTCCAGTTTGCTGATTAATGTGCTGCTCTTGGCCCCACAAATTAAGTAAAAAACTAACCTTGATAAATCATCGTCATCATCATCACTTTCAGAAAGAGAGCCACTAAGCTCTTTAGCAAAACATCTTGAACTTCTTAGGGTAAGAGGTTTCATCTCAGATGGAAGATCAGGAAAAAGAATCCTAAGAGATAAAAATATTTTAAATCAAATATTCAATAATTTTATTATTATTATTATTATATGAACCTTTTATACATCAAAAACTTTGCAATATTTTAATAGTGAGAAACTACTCATGATGTTAATAAATTATTCTCCAAAATGAATTCTAATACACATGAAAATAGCTTGTGATATTTTATCAGACTTGTTTATCTTTTTTACTTGGTAAACAAAAAGACATGTATTTTAATTCCCCCAAGAATTATTTAGTACCATTTCAAGTAAACAAATAAAAAAATCAAATAAAATATTCTGAAGTATTAATCTTGTTCCAAAGAATTAATTCGGATTTCTGGTTTTGCCAAAATTCTTAATCTTTTAATTTTTGATGTTTATATATGTTTCTCAGGCTAATAAAGCAACAAACATTAATAAAAATAAAAAAAACCTTTAGAGAAATGAGTTTACAACCAAGATATAATATAAATTATTCTCAGACAATAAGAAAATCATTTCACAAAAAATGCTGTAGACTGGGACTTATTTCTTGTTTGTTGTTTTGGAATTTCGCGCAAAGCTACACGAGGGCTATCTGCGCTAGCCGTCCCTAATTTAGCAGTGTAAGACTAGAGGGAAGGCAGCTAGTCATCACCACCCACCGCCAACTCTTGGGCTACTCTTTTACCAAGGAATAGTGGGATTGACAGTCACATTATAATGCCCCCACGGCTGAAAGGGCGAGCATGTTTGGTGGGATGCGGATTCGAACCCGCGACCCTCAGATTGTGAGTCGAGCGCCTTGTCCACCTGGCCATGCCGGGCACGACTTATTTCTTAAAGAAACAACTAGTATATGTTAGAAGATGCTCAATTCATATCAGGTAGGTTTCTTTCAGTCCTAGCAACTCATATCAAAAATCAATAAAAACAGTTCAAACACTCAATAATGATAAGATTATTCAACTATAGAGGTAAAATTGCTTAATTCTTAGTGTTTCATGAAGAGAAAAATAAACCAAAATCTCAAGCAAGATCTGCTGATTAAAATATCAACCACTTTATTTTTCATTTTTAAATCATGTTTTATATTTGTACTTCATTAATACTAGTATCAATTTTAAGATAATAGGTGATAAAGCAAATAATAAAAAAACAACTGACAACAACAACTAGCAAATAAGCTGTAAATGGCAAAACAATCAACAAAATAATATTATCTTTAAGCATTTTTTTAACATCAATACAGTAAAGGTTTAACACATGAATTCTTCACTCTGTATACTCAGATCTGCAAACTACAATACTAAGCAGTCACTTCTCATAGTTACACTTACCTGCAACTGCACATTAAACAGTTTTGTTCTTTCAAACAATAAATGCTATTTAGTGTCATTACTTTTGGAAATTACTGATAATGTAATAAATGCTAAACTGCTTCTGTGGGATTATCCTAAAGAAGATACATTCTGAGCCACCTCAATAAACTAAATTTAGTTTAATTCTGAACAAAGTGGAATTAAACCTTCCTATTATGTTTTAGGTCTTGTTGAACCAACACTGGTTTCCATAGCTTTGAGCTACAATAAAATATATCTTTGAGTTTTTTATAATGAGATTCTACATTAATTTCTAAGATTTAACATAAAAGATACATATATTATGCTAAGAAAAAACAATTTAAAAATTCAAGGCTCTTACAATTTGTATGAAATTGCATTGGAATACGAGTAAAAGATAACAAAATTATTTTAATTCTGCTACTTCCACGTAACTTATCCTGATTAGGAATGTTTTTTAGAATTATCTAAAACCAATAAACCTTTAATAAATCTCATTTAAATTACATTATTTCAAACCAGTTTCAACTGGCCACAATATATTAAAAGGGCATGACCAACAAAAACATATTTTGCTACTACTGTTAGATAAACTTGACTTTGATTGCAATGGACAGGTAGATTTTTTGGATTACCTCCAGTGATGAGCAATTTAACTTTTTCACTACCCCATTACGTGACTGGTAGCCAGCTGTGCAGTAGCCTGTTTGAATCACACCTTCCTTTTCCTTGCTAATATCCTTTAATACAAAATGGTAAGTTTCTGTGCCTTTAATGCTTTTATAATCATAGAATAGAAGAATTTTGCACAAATTAAGATTTAACGTGAATTCGGATATAACGAGATGGGTCATTAACTCTTTCTACACGAGCTCAGTCCCTAGGACCGACCTCGTAACCATAATCTCGTTATAGTTTACATACTAATAACTTTTAATATTTTAAGTGTATCT